TGATATATTCTTAGGTGTCTATGGTGTTTGTGTGTATTAAAAGTGAAGGTGAATGTTCATGTATGTTAACAATTAAAGATAGAAGCATACAAAAACTTTGGTTTCTGCTACGGATGTTTATTCCTTTTATGGTGACTGTAGTGAAACAAGTCTCTTGGGTGTGTCCATTTTCGTTTTTGCTTCAGAAGCTAGGATAACAATGCTCAAAATGGTTGATCTCAAGTCAGCTGTGTGCTGTGTTGGAATGACCATGAGTAGTTCTGCCAAGTCAGGTACAAACAATGTCATTGGAAAGTGAAAAAGAGAGAGATTCTGTCCTTTTCAGAAATGGGGTCATAAAATCACACATGTAGCCAAAAACTCTTTCTGGTTTCTTTATTACTTGCATTATGGAAAAATAAATTAATTTTTTCATTTTTTTTTTTTTTATTATTTATTATTATTTTCTTTATTGATTTTATTTAATTTTCCCAACATGTCTAATACAAGGTGGAGATTTGAAATAATTTTGTGGGTCATAAGTTTTCTTAATATGCAATAAACAGAGTGGGGGCTTAATAAAAATGGGTATCAGAAAATCATTTGAAGGGTCAAAAAGTATGAAATTAATGAGTAATCTTAGGAGGCTTGGTTGAGATTAGAAAATTTCCTCAAAAAAAATAAACATCCCCCTCTTCTGTTAGGTATGTAAAAGTAGCCATGTCACTTCTAACTGAAGAATGAGTGAAAGAGATTGTGTGCAAATCTCTTTCATCATGGTTCAAGTATATATCTGAGCATTTATTCTTTAGAAGACTTGAAATTGTTTAGTGATATGTGAATGGTTAAATGATGTATTGGATTGGCCCAAAAGTTTGTTTGGTTATTAAATAAATTTTCTGTGTAACACTTTACATGGACATACATGTTGGTGTCTCAATAAGTTCATAGCTTAATGATGAAAAATTTGCTTTATGCAACAAAAATTTTATTTCATAACAAATTCCTTTGTCAGTGCACTTAATTCAATGTTCATTATTAATCAAATAGATATAACATTATATAGTAAAAATATTAGGCCAAAATAAGTTAATAAGGCTATGGACTTATTGATCTACTATTAGAAGTTGGCTGGCATGACAGAAAATATCAGTTGAGCTTTGTGGTCGGTCTCTCCTGGTATTGAATAAGTCATTTGATATCAGGCAGAGACTTATAAAGGAGCTTGCCAAAATTATGTGTAATGTTCTGAGTACTTTCAACCATTGTTAGTCATTTTCAAGAAAAGAAAGAGGAGTCAAGATATATTTTGCCATGATAGCATGTGAAATCATGTTCATTTCAAACTCTGAACCATTCAGAGAACAGCGTAAACACTCCACTAGCTGTCTCTTAACTTTTGTCTTCTTTCCTTGAAAATGACTTATGATGGTCTAAAGTACTCTGAACATTATTTATAAATTTCCACCTGACATCAAATGACTGATTCAACACCAGGAAAAACTCAAGTTTAACAGACATTCCTTGTCTGTTCTATCCTTCCCCACCTCTCTCTCTCATATATACTTATGCCATTAATAAGTAATAAATTTTGATGACAGGTTATTTCAATTCAAAATAATTTTTAATCTTTTCGTTTTGTACTTGGAATTCTGTATCAATCACACTGTCATTGGTACCTGACAATAATAGTTCTTATCATTTGAAATTTATCAATTTATAATTCTCAGATGTAACTATAGCCAAATGAGTGTTCTATGTAAAAGAAAAAATACATTTCTCAAATCTTCTGCCACCTTTCAATATCCCCTATTGTTGTGTCCTTTGTCTCCTGTAAGTATTGGACTGGATAGAGGTGGGTGGTCAAGAAGACTTCAAGTCCAAACAAGTCAGTTACTCTCAAAAAATGTGAAGTTATTTGTCAAAATGTTTTAACTCTTTTTTTAACACGAGTTTAAGATGTTAAATTTATAAATTAAAAAACAGTAGAAAAGACAGTATTTCATAAAACAAAACTGTTTTTGTAAAACAGTGTTTCCCAACATTTTTCCAACCAGCATCCCCTTTTGGTAAACAACCCATGTCAAATTAAATTTTGAATATTATGCTGAATTCATATTTCAGAGCAAGGTAACACTTAGGTATTAGTGCAAAAATAACTGTAATATTGTTTTCATTTCTATTATAAATGTTAATGATTAAAATGCTAAAAAAAATTTTATTTGATAGCTTATCTCAATGTTTTCAATGCAATCATTGACTTTGGTGCTTATTGGCTAAGGCTCTTACTCTAAGTTCTATGCTGCTTAGAAATAATTATAGATCTCCTCATTTTGTAATTTGCAGGTGGTTTCTTTGTTTAGTAAGAAGTTGTGTAACTGCTTTGAAACGACATTCAGCCATACAGAAAGATGGAAAAACAATGAATAAAAATTTGATAGCTTCTTACAGCTTTAGGTACTTTTCAGAAGTTTCCTTTTCTAGCCAATATTTAATAATTTTAAAAAATTTGAAAAATAAATAGATAAATTCTCACTGCCCCTGAATATGTTCACCACTCCCCAAATGAAATAAAAACTCCCAGTGCTCCCTTTCAATGTTACAGATCACACAAGGGGGTGCTATGTTGGAAAACACTGTTGTAAATCAATGACTTCAAAGAACCCCAAAATGCTAAAAACAGAAATGTTTAGAAAGATAAGATATGAAGTCTGTTATAATTTGTTACAATGGAGTAAAGAAATCTGAAGGACTTTAGTTTTACTCTGGGAAACTTTTAGAAACTGTTAGAACATCAGTATAGATGAGTTAATAATTCTTTAAAATTTGGATGACTGCTTGAAGGTTTGTTAATATTAAAAACAAAAAAATAGTTTTGGACTGCTCTGGAATGTCTGGACAAATGATTGCTGAACAATTTTAGCACAAATGAAGAAAAGACTTGAAGTGACTAATATGTGGGTATTATTGAAAAAGTTTGTTCCCAATTTTCATTGTTGATATAAAATGTTTGCAACTTGACACTGGTGTTTGTTTTGGTGTCAATTTCTGGTGTGTTCTAGCTTGAAACCTAGCATTGTTCAGCTGCAAGTCAGGCTTTTTTAAATAATTACACTTTGCCCACAAAATAGGTGGAAGATGAAAATTTGCAGTTTTGCCATATTATGCTCTGTGAATTTCAGAAAGTAGTAAGTATCAGAATTATCTCTTTTTCCACCACAGCAACACAAAACTGCACATTGCAAAACGGACCATGCAGGAAGTTAAAGAGTTGAAATGGAGAAACCCTCCAGCACGCACCATATTCACCTGACTTGGCGCCTTCATATTTTCATTTCTTCTTCTCTCTATAGAATAATATAAATGTCAAAAAACTGGACTGTATACAGTCAGTCAAAAAATAACAAAAAGATTTCTAAGAAAATGGCTTCAACAAGCTTGTAGAATAATAGGAGACAGTTGTTAAAAACAATGTATTGTATAGCTGGTCACTCGTATTCGAGGACATCTGTCTACTAGGGCAGCTAGACAATCTCTATTGTAGATGCTTGCTCAGGTGCATTTGTGTTTATTCAACACCCACAGAGCCCACCTGTGGTTTATACTGCAACTATGCTGAGCAGACCTTAGTTACAGTTTCTGGGAAAGTGTGTGTTATCTAGCATGATCACCAATTTGAACAAGGTCAGCACACTCAAGCCCTTGACCACGATGACTTGTGACTTTGTGGTAGCACAGCTATCGACGCTGCCCAAGGGTTCCGTCTACCCAATTTCACTCACATGGCTTGAGTCAACCCATTGTTTGGTTTTCAGATGCTTTCCAAAGGTGCTGCATGCTGGGATTTCCTTCCTGACAAATCGACCATGGTGAGATTCAAACCCGAGTCTCATGGTCAGTATGTGAATGTTCTAACTACTCGGCCATGTGCTCATATGTTAAAAACAATATAGACTATATAATTGACTAATACATGTCTCTTTGAGAGAATATAAAATTTTATTTTTAATTTTCTAATCGGGCACATGAACAGAGAATATGGTAACTGAAAAAGTTATAAGAAGAATAAAAACAAGGAATCAACAAGATGTATCTGGAACTTTTGGAATATATGATGATGGAGAAAGGTTTGAAAAATTTGACACTCACAAGGTGCATCAAAGCAAGAGAAGCAATACAAAGAAGAAAATAATCTACTTGATAGTAATCTAATTTTATTATTAAATTTCTTAGTAAAACTTACAAATCATAATTTACTCCTAGACATCAAATTTGGGAAAACTGACCTGGGGCAAAATAACAATGACAAATAGTAATGGTGCTCTTTTCTTATATGCAAACATTTGGCATTCATTTACTGAAGAGTCAGTTGGTTGAAATTTATAAAATCTTTCTCTGAAAACAAATTTTCAGGAAATTAGATTTCTCAAGTCCAGTGACTGTTTTTACTCATTCCAGTATTGATAGAAGCTTCCTTCCTAAACTTTTTTTTGAATTAATGCAGAATGTCAACACTTCAGTTAAGTCATTAGTTTCTCTTTGAGTTACATGTGCTACCAATTTTAGTTGTTGCAGCTGTTGAAAGTCCTCAAATGATGTGGTTTCTGTTATTTGGCAGAGTTATGTGTTTTGATTCTGTAGTGACAGTCCACAAGGTTCCAAGAAGAATGGTTCTCTTCAAGACTTTTAGAGTTCAAAGAGATCATAAAGGAGCAAATATTGCTGAAAACACTAAAAGAAAGGAAGTAGTGGAGAGCGATGATTTCCTACAACCTAAAGGCACATGGTACATAGAGAGACAATATGTGCAATTAATCAAGTACTTTTATGGCTCCAAAAACATTCCTTGATGTTTGCACTTTGAGGACACCATTAATAACATGGCTAATCATTGCTCTCCACAACATCCTTTTTTTGTAACACTTAGTAGGGCTTATTTTTTCACCATCCATCCCATTTTCTATTCTGCCATCCATTTACATGAACTCATTCAGTAGGCTACTTGCTGTTTCCTTCTGGCTTATGATCATAGCACTTTGAAACATTGGTTCTCATTCAATCACTGAAGTTAAGCAACGTTGAGCCTGGTCAGTACCTAGATGGGTGACTACTTTGGAATATGAGGTGCTGTAAGCGTGAATGTGCAGGTGATTCAATAGATAACTGCTCGGTGTTGGAAATCAGAGAACTGAGCTCCAACTCCAATCTGGTTCATTTATTCACTTATGCACATTGGGAAAGGTATGAATCCACCTCTTCTCCTCCCCAGCTATGGTTTAAATAGTAAGACTTCTGTCTGTATGTCATTATTATCTCCAAAAAATTCTAACAATCCAAAAATGTTATTCTTGCTTTAAATAACATGCAAAAGATTGGTAAACCTTAAAAAACAAATGAATCAATTAACCTTCTTGTTTCCAATGTGCCCTGTGGGTGTCAAATTCTCCTTGCCCTCTTCATTATATGTCCTAGAAATTAGAGATACTGATAATTAGGTTGCAATTTCTGTTAATCTCTTAATTTTAGAATAGCCAACAAATTTCATGTCTTTTCCTTCAGTTGCACTAATGGTTATCAATGTCTTAATGTCTTACCTAAAGATCTTTAAATATGTATAAAGCCAGATCAATAAAAAGCTTAATTTTGATCTTAAGTTTTCACTGTATAATATTCAATCTATATAATTAATATTTACTACTGAATAATGTGCATTGACAAAGGAAAAGATTATGTTGAAAAAATATTTATTGTACAAAGTAAATACTTTTATCATCATTAGGCTATAGATTTATTGATCCACTTTGTTAGTGTCAATAATTTTTCAGCCTTAGCAAAAGATTCTATCTTTAAAATTAGATTTTTCATTCTGTTATATAAAATTTAGGTTATACTTTTCATTGATTCAAATAAAACCACACGACTTGCTAACAAGATGGACAAGGTTTTTTTTTTTTTCTTTTTTTCAACCAAATATAGATTTTCTTTTTATCAATTATTTAAACAGTTTTCCATGTATTGTAAGTTTCTGTTTCTAAGTGCATTCATAAGTTTGCAAATGAATGATAGGAAAAAGCATTCATCTTACAGAGCAAATATTTACTTTTCAATATAACTTCATTCTTTGTCAATGCACTTAATTCAGCAGTGAGTATTAATCACACAGATTGAATATTACGTAGTGAAAATTTCAGATCAAAATTCAGCTAATAAATGTTTAGGGCTACATATTTATTGGTCCTCGAGTGTGTTTGTGTGTGCGCACATACATGTGTGTAAAACTAGAGTTTTCATTGAGGAAAAGAAATGTAAGTAAATGATGCAAGTCAAAGAATAGATAGAAAGAAGAAAATAATGTAAAAAGGAGAAAAAGAAAAAAAACTGGAGAATCTAGTTTGGTAGTAAACGACATAGACTTTCTCATTGGTTTCATGTAATTTATAAATGTTAAAAGATCAATAAATATATAAGAAAAGCATTAGTCCATCATTAACATTTGAGTAATAGAGACCAAGTAACTCTTGCAGAAAGAAAAAAAAAAATGAAACCAGACAGATGAGATCAATTCTGAAAGAAATTCTGTGTTAGTTTGCTTTTTTTTTTCTTTCTTTTCTTGACTGATAACATATAAATTTATTCATAAACAAGAACTTAAGAACAAATATCGTATATACTGGATAGTAAATATTGGAACTGTATAATTATAAAAAAAAGTTTCAGAATATTTCAGTCAGTCAGTGTGCTACATAATCTTTGATGCAGCCAAATAATGATAGATTATTGTGCTATTATGTTTCTCTAATGCTTATACTACAAGTATGACATGAAAAAAGATTTCTATCATATCTGTCTTTAGATTTTATCTAGGTATTTTGACTGGTTGTGCAGTTTATACAAAGGGTGTTGAAAAGTTCTTAGCCCAGCCAATTATCATCAGTCCCATAACTGGATGTGACCATTTTTTTTCTTTACTGTTTTTCACCCAATATATAGAAAAGTTTCATACAAAGTAGAGGCTAACTGAGTTGAATTATTGCAAGGGATGTGGAAAGAGGAAGTAAGATATTATGAGGAGGAGTAGAATAGATATCAATTGACCCTGGACTTAAAGAAACAAAGATTGTAGTTGTCAAGGAAGCATCCACTCAGGAGTTTGTTCCACAATGTAACAGTTCTGGAGAAGAAGCTGTCTAAGTGGAACTTGCTCATTATCAAAGGAACATGAAGGAATTATGGATGGCTTGAAACCATGAACCTAGCATGGCTGGTTCTAGCTGTGAAGGTCTGAACTGGTGGAATTAATGAATGTAACATGTCTAAACATCTGCCATAGTAATAGCACTAGAAGTAGTGAGAAGCAAGCAACATTTCATCTGTGGGATAATAGTTGTAAGGTGGAGAATAATTAATCCCTCATAAGGTCATGTCAGCACTTTTGAACTCTACCAAAGCTGGACAGTAAAGATTGGGCAGTACTAGCACAGATATGGCAGCAGCACTCCATTCTTGGCCTGATTTGGCTCTCATAAAGGATAGAGCATGGAGTAGGAGTTTGGTATTTGTGTTTGCTTGGTGCTGATAAAATGTTACTAGTTTAACTTTTGGATGTATTGAATGATACTGGCCAGTCTTTTCCCCTCTTGAGAGTTAGATTAGAGGAGAGATCAGTCACTGGTCATCAAGATATTTGGATATTTACTAAGGATTTGAGATTGCTTTTGGACAGATTATTAATATAAAGGAGTAGGACCAAGGAGAGAACCTTTGGGAGAATCAACATTGGTCTCCTGTACCACAGGAAAGACTTGAATACTAAGAGAATTTCATCAAGGATTCCATAGCTGGTCAGTTTGTGTAGCAATCCTCTATCAAATCATTTTGTCAAAGCTATCTAGGGTGATCATACTCAAGATATTTTTATTATCAAGCACTTCACTTCTCTATCTATCAGGTCATCCCATAAGTTCTGTCTGAATTTTGAATAAAGAAAACAAGTGACCAAATGTTACATTTAATTACAGATTCAATCAACAATGTATTTTCCCTGATTATCTATGACTTCCTTCCATCTATTAACAATTTTTACTAATTCCATTACTGTAAAAATTCTTTTTTGGCTTTGATTGAAGAACTCACAAATGTCAGTTTTAACTTCTTCCTGTGTTACAAAAAGCTGTTTCTTACAAATGATTCTGTAAGCTACAAAACAAATGGTAGTCTGAAGGAGCAAGATTGGGAGAATAAGGTGGATGAAGAATTTTCTCCCAACCAAGTTCTTTGATCTTTTGTGACGTGATTCTTGCCGTGTGGAGTCGCGCATTGTCCTGATGAAACATCACCCCTTTTCGATTCACTAGAGCAGGTCTTTTTTCCTCAAAGCTTGGTTCAAACACTCTAATTGCTGACAGTATATTTGAGCATTAATTGTTGCATTTGGTGGTAAGAATTCAAAGTGGATTATTCCTTGGCGATCCTACCAGATTGAAAGAAGAACCTTTTGCCCATGAAGTTCCCTTCTCGGCTGTGGCTGGGGTCCTTCCCCTTTACCAAGCCACTGTCTATGATGCTTAACATTTCGATAAAAGATCCATTTTTTGTTGCCAGTCACAAGTCTATCCAAAAAAGATGAAACAAGTTGGCGAGAATGGAGAGAAGAGCAGATATCTACTCGGAATTTGAGGTTGTTTTCAGACAATTCATGAGGCACCCATTTTCCAAGTTTAGGAACTTTTCCAAGTTGTTGAAGATGACGATGAACAGTTGTATGGTTTGAACTGAGAACCAGTGCCAATTCCTCAACGGATAAAGCAGGATTTTCTTCAAGGGCTGCTTCAAGAAGCTTTTCATCAAACTCAACTGGACGTCCGGTTCGATCTTCATCTTCAAGGGTGAAATCCCCACCTCTGAATTTTGCAAGCCATCTTCTGCAAGTTCTTTCATTCACACATTCCTCTCCATAAACTCAGTGAATGTTTCTAGCCGCTTCGGCTGCTGAGTTTCCTTTCTTGAACTCATAAAGCATTATGTGCCTCAAATGATTCTTGGGTACTTTCATGTTAGCAGGGTTTAAATCAAACAAAATTTAATTTTGTTCTCTGAAATAAAATTTGATCAGTTTAAATGCATCTAAACATAAAAATAATGTTCAGCTCCATTAGACATTATAAAATACTCTTTAAATTTCGTTCATTTTAACAAAAAGTTAAAATTCGGACAGAACTTATGGGATGACCTGATATAAAAGGCAGGATGTGTGTGTGGGTGTGTAACCAATGCACGGCCGCAATTTTCGATGGATTTGCATCAAAATTTACATGCACATGCTTCAAATTAGCGGGAAGGCCAAGATTAACTTTGCATTTCCCAACTCCCATCGATAGTGGAAATAATCGATTTTTTTTCATGCTTCTACGGCAGTTTTCATGTAGTTTGTGGCCATTTTGTACTGGCCAGAGTGAGAGCCTGTAGCTGGCTCCCACGAATAGGCAGGAAGATTCTATTGGCCAGCGTGAGAGCCAACAGCTGACTGACATGTATGTTAACTAGCATGCTAGCATGCAAAAAAATCGATAGCTGCATTTGTCACAAGTGGGAAAAATTTAAATCTGCATGGCACTTTACTCCAATTGGCTTGCTTAAACTCAACATTGATTCTGATTCCACAGAACTGGGTTGAGTGTGAAAAAGTATTTGTTAACATTCTTAATCCAATCATTCTTAACAAATCAGACATGCTACTATATCACTTCACATTATTCACCCCAGGGCTTTAACTTTGAATTTATGTTGATTTTTATCTTCTTCAATGACCTTCCTGATGTCATCAGTCCTCGAATAGGTATTTATGCTGATGACACAACTATTTACTCTTGCTTTAATAGTATTCTGCTCCTGAAAATGAACTCAAATCAGTTCTTAACTAGAACAAGAAATGGCTTGTTAATTTGAATGCCTTCAAAATGAAACTGCTATCTTTTAATTCTCATATAGAATCATTTTTGCCTTTCATCAGCATGGCTGATGCTAACCTCCATAAGAGCAACTCATCTTACCTTGGTCTCATATTTTCCACTGACATGAAATGGTTATATTAAATCAATTGCTCAGTCTGCTACCAGGAAATTTGGTTCATTGTGT